CGAGTACTCCTTCTTGGAGGCATATTTCTAATGCACAAATTTTTAAGTCGAAGTTCAGTTACTCTCATTATTTACCACTATGTTGCACGGCATGTTACAATCATTTAATCATGTAACCAAGGTAATAATATAATAACTTATAATTGTAAATGCATTAAATCGATAATAAACAAAAATTAACCATTCATAGACAAAATCTCATAAGATCCATAAATAAAATAAAGATRTGCAATATAAAAGAAAAATTGTTCACAAACCACGGCTACAAGCCTCAAAAGAAAGTCTTAAATTTCCACTATCAACAACTTAATAAATAAAATCTTCTAACGCATAAGACTCCAAATAAGCAAACCTATCACTATCATCAGAATTCTTGCTAACATCGCCAGATAAGTGTGCAACCTCCTAATCGCTCTCCTAGCGATGAAAATCAACTCTAATGAACGATCCATCATATTATCTTGAGTGCCTAGGGCTGTAATCACTCCATCGGCAAAGTGTTGATAATGCTCCAGCCTAAGTTGACACATCTCAAGATCTTGCGCCATGCCCAAAACCCATAAATTCTCCAGGGTAGTCATACCCAGAGAGCACTCCGATGTGGTCCTGGTAGTGGGTGGGGGTGTTACACTACGAGTGCGTGACCGTGATGGCTCCCTCACGGCTCCAGATGGGGCGAAGAAAGACACCATCACAGGTGGAGGAATGCTCATTCGGGCGGTGGTCTGAACTCTAGCTCCGTGTGGCGCTATAGGATGCACGGGTACAGAGCGAGGCGGCTGTGGGGTGGGTGATCGTGCTGAAGATTCAGTGACATCGTTGCCACTATTGTAACCGTGCTCTGAGGGATCGTAGTCTCCGGAGTTCGAATATTCATTTTCTGACGACATAATGCTGCGATATTTAATAAAATTTTAAATTATTAAACGAATCATAATAAATGACAAAAAGATGCAAAAATTTATGCAAACTCACATATGTGAACCGTGCTTTTCTTATTGAGTAAGAAGTCCTTAACTTTTAGACAAACACCTAACATAACCAATCCGCGTCTCTTCTTATACATACTTAATTAGACAGAGGTGATCAGACTCTGTCTAGTTAGAGTATGCTAAGAAGTCACTCGTTCTGGTTATTTTAGCAGTATGTCCGTTTCAAAATTTGGAGACTCTTTCTAAGAAAATTAATTCGTAAATTTAATTTTTTTTTTGGGTTATAGTGTATGGTTTTCTTAAAAAACCGGTGTTCTCTATAACCTAAAGCTCTGATACCAAATATGTCACACCACGCTAAAGCGGAAACGCGAGGTATGGCAGGTAGAGTTCATAGCGATAGAGTATAAGTAACACAACCATACATTTTAAAATTTAAATACATCATAACCAAAGTTTACAATCCCAAAGACAAGTTTATAATTTAAACACAAAAAAAAAAAAAATTGAAGGTGATGATTGTGATATGGCTTCTTTTAAGAGTTACCATGAGCCTTTCTTACCCCTGAAAAAGCACRTCAAAACAAGTGTCAACTACAAGAGTTGGTGAGTTCACAGGTTTTCATTTCACAACAAATCTTTAAGCAATAAATAAGTCGAGTAAATCTCTTACTTACTCGCAACACTTTCATGCGAGACACAATGTACTCCAAGAAATTTTTAAGTGTTGGGCCACTACTAAACCTGACACCTACGCCCTTTTATAGCGAACTACCTCAGCGGTGGGACTAAACCCCACATGTGTAGAACCCTTGTTTTAGTTATATGCACCCCCTACTCACCAGCAGAAGGTGGGATTGTCAGTCCAAATAGCGCTATCCTCTTAAACTATCGGCTCAACAAGTTAATAGTAGTGTCACAYCGGGACTTTTGAAATAACCCAAACACAACTATTACTTGAGTACAAGGAGTTAGTGCTCGCATTCACAATTTCACTTCAAAATATAATTCATAAGAATCAATTTGAATCCACAGTTTAAACGCAATGAATATTGCATGCAAAACATCACTATATTTATACATGCTTTTCCCCCCAAAAACACGAAAATAGTAAAAATGGGCCGTGAATACTCACTCTTTTGCAATGCTCCGCAAAATAGAGATACGATCCGATCACCACACTAGTTCAATGATTCCCTATCAAAGAGGAATATCCAAACCATCACTTACGGATTTAACATTACTTATGGGGTTTAATAAGTCTTAAGTCCATAATTGTCTACTTATGTTTCATATGATTATCCATAGTCCAAAATGTCCATATGCTCGTTAATGTATTAATTTATACCGAAAACAATGTTATAGTCCAATAAAAAGATCAAAATTTTACAAAATCAACTAATCCCAAAATCTCGTTTTTGGGCAGAAACTAATGATACCTAAAAATGATCAAATTAAAGAGACTTCTAAAATGAGAGAATTTTCTATCTTTTTACATGGACTATAGCACTGAGTTATAGTCATCGTGACCAAATTTCATGTATTTCAGACATGCAATAATGATTCAACTAATTTATGCAAAACGACTTATCACTACTGATATGGTAGATTACACCATGTTAGTAAAACACTCATTAAAAGAGTTCTACTAAGTGTTCTGTAGAAATTCAAGTTGGAATATAAACTTAACACTTATATGAAACTTAAAAACTAAAAATAACTCATTTTGGATGAGTTAAGAGGAAGATATGGTACCATAAAGTTACATGCACACATCTGTCATTAGTTGATAGATTGCACACGTAACTTTAATAAATTGTTTAATGCCTCAAAACTTCATATTTTTGGGTGAAACTGGAGTCATATGAACCCTAACTCATAAAAGAATATTTTAGAAGAAGAATCATACACTAAAAACAAATAAGTAGAGAGATATTAGCATACAAAGTAGGAGTTACCTACTGGTGGTTTTAAAGTTTGCACACCTATAGTGTTTTTAGGTGTTTGGAGATCAAAGCTCCATAATTTCATGTGATTCCACTTGAATGCAATAGATAACCCATATAGTTAACTCTAAAAAGAAGAATCATCCTTTTTCATTGAGTTTTGAAAAAGATATAGTCATTGGAACATACATATACAAATCTGCCAGATTCGGACATATTGCATGTTCACTTTGTTTTGAGTAGTTAAAACCTCAAATCACCACAATATTGAATGAAATCGGTGGMATTTGAAAGGTAACTCATTAAACTAACAKCCAGAAGAAAAATCAACAATTTTGAATGATTATCTAGAGAGTTATGGCTATTTGAACTAGGGTTTACCTACTGAAAAACGCTCAGATGCACATATATAATGTTTTGAGTATTTGGGGAGTCAAAACTCAATGTTTTTTAGTGAGACCAATTGGATTACAACCCTAACTAAATAAATAAACTTTTAGAAGAAATCTCATAACATTTGAACATGTCATTTACAAGATATAGACGATTTGTGCACATGCACATAATCTGTCAGCACCAAAATATATCATTTTGAAGAAACAAACTCACATAAAATCATGATTTTTACCTATCTTTTTGAGTTCTAAT